CGCTAGTAGGGTGGAGGCCATCGCTAGTAGGTTGGAGGCCATCGCTATAGTAGGTTGGAGGCCATCGCCAGTAGGTTGGAGGCGATCGCTAGTAGGTTGGAGGCCATCGCTAGTAGGTTGGAGGCCCAAAGATTGAGCACCGGCAGTTGTCCAAACCTCCCAGGTGCGTTCCAACGCAGGACTTTCCTTTGACGAGCGGATTGAGATTGCTGCCAAGGTGGGCCGCGGCACAAGCACTATATACTTTTGAGATCTTTTGAGCACGCATCGGTTCTTCTTCAGCATCATTCTAATTACATACAGTGCTTTGTAACTTTGAATGTGCGGTTGATGGCTCCAAGCCTTTATGCCCCCCTGGTTTGGGGACGTAGTCCGGCTTTTGAGTTGGGGTAGTGCCTCAGGGTGGTTTGGTTTGTCGTGTCCTGCCCATTGCAGTGCCTCGCTCCCTCTCCACTTGGCAATCTTCCTGGCTGGCTTTTCCACTGGTGGACTTTGTGCCATTGGACTTTTCTTTTGGCTTTCTTGGACTTCTGTTCAAGCTCAACCACCTGCTGGCCACACTCACTACCGGCCTACCTCTCCTGCTCCTTTGGCACGCCTCCAGGCGTACCTGCGTGAGCGCTCCTACCACCACCACTCTCATCCTGATTGAGGCTGTGCGTGGCATTGCTAGGGCACTACGGGGCCTTGCTGCATCTTTGGATCAGGCGGCTGACCGGGCCGAGGGCCGCCCTGCTAGCGGGACTCCTGCTATCTCATCTGATACGGTGGACACCGTCGACTGGGACCTCATCACACACCTGGATTCTCTGTCAGGACATCCTGTACGTGATCTTCCTGGGCCTTCTGTGCCCTCCACTTCTGGATACAACGAGGTCTCCAATAGCTTCCCGGCTCTCCCTGAGCATTGCTTGGATTTGTGCCGTCGCTTGTCTGGTACTCCTGAGGAGGTGCGATCTCGAGCCACTCGGGCTTGGGTGGCAGGGTGTTGGGCCAGGGCAACTATTGAAGGAAGAGTTCAGAAACCAAGGCCTTCCCCTAAGCTTGGACTTCAGGCTACAGTGTACATCATCCTCAAGGCCCCAAGCATCTCTCGACCTGTCAGGGTTAGCTCAGCGGCCGACTATTTCAAGCTGTTGCCCAAGTTTGACGATTCGGTCAGCCATTCCTTCCCTTCTTTGTCAGAAGGACAAGTCTACTGCCTCGCAGCTGGCTATAGTTTTCCTGAGCCCGCTGATCGACAGTGATGGCGCAGAATGTCAAGTACCTGGATGCAGGGGTCTACATGATCCATGTTTTGACCCTCAATGTGGGAACGGCAGCATCCCCTGTGTTTCAAGAGACTTTTGCAATTCCTTTGATGCAGCGCCGGACAGGTGCTCTTTTTGCATTGCCCATGGGAGCAATTCCAGATCCTCTGCTTCAAGCTGGCATGACAGCCTCACCAGAAGACCTTATTGGTCCTTCAACTACGGTGACAGTTCCCGTTGTGCTGGAGGAGGTGGATGGCACCGAGGCTCCTACAGATCAAGATATGGATGTGATGATCGTCGACTTCCACATAGCAGTCTTGGAGAGTGTCAGAGGATTCGACCCTGTGACCGAAGGCCCAGGGATCCAGCTTTTCTCGCCTTCCGGTCCGGATGTTCTGCCAGAATCCAGCTCCCTTCTTCTGGCGGCTTACTCATGGTTGGAAGAGGGGGCCGAAGGTCGGACCCAATTCTACTCTGCAGAGGCGCCTCCACCGGCATCAGCTGCGCCGGCCAAGTCAAATCCTGCGGGACGTGGCAAGACGAAGGCCTCCCCTGGTGGGGCTTCTACGCCCAAGAGAGTGACTACGGCGACCTTAGCAGAGCAGCTTGCAGAGTTATCCAAGAACCTTCCGGCCATCTCCACTCGGCTCGATGCTATGGCAGAAAGACAGAACAAGGTGGAAGCTCTTTTGTCGGCAGGGACAGCCCAGCAATCTGCTCCTACTCCGGCCTACCGACAGAACTTCGAAAGGCCATCAGCTCTGAGAAAAGCCTCTCCTTTGCAGTTCATGCAGGACATCGGGAGTCCGCCTCGTGTTCGGGCTCTTCAGGACAAGGCAAAGCCAACTGCCGTGACTACTATGGAGGAGGACGAGCCCGAGTTGCTTCCTTGCGATCCAGACTTTCAAGTTGTAGAGGCCTCAAAGGGAGACCTTTCAGCAGGCATGCCAGAAGCCATCATGCGGCAGTCTCAAGCCTTGACAACCCTGGTGGCACACTTGGTGGGTCAGGACAGCCTACAGGACTTCCCTTCAGCGGCATCTTCGTCGGTCCTGTCCTTGAAGGGGTCAGCCAAGCGGGACAAGCTTCTTTCAGACCTTTCTCTCAGAAAGGGCAACTTCCTTCTGAAGGTTGCGCAGAATGCCTTCCGCAGACTGAAGCCTACGGATCCTCTACCAAGAAGCTTGGAGGAGTTCGGAGGAAAGACCATCTTCTCGAAGTACCTGGAGCGCAACGGAGGCTATGCAGGGCAGAAGGATCTGGGCCTTGTCATGTGGCTGCTATGTCAAATTGCAGATACGATGATCCAGGGGGACCAGCAAGGAGCTCAGGAACTCTTGGCCTTGACCATGGTGACCATAGAACAGACAGCGCTCGATGGAGGAAAATGGGAGGTAGGTTGGATGCTGTCGCTTCAGGAGGATCCTCCGCCGGGGGTGTTCAATTCCCGGCCAACTTCGACGAACCCTCGACTTCGGGCCTTTGGACCTCTTTGTCCGCCGGAGTGGGCGACCATTGCTCTATCTTTTGTCAAAGAGATCGACATCATCAACAATCGGAGGCAGGAAGCTATCCCGTCTCGAGGAACAGTTCCGAAGGATCATCCACAGACAGCAGACAACCCAAAGAAAAGGCAGCCCAAGTTTCCAAAGAAACCAAAGCAAGGAGGAGATCAAGCTTCCTGAATGACCTGCTCGAAAATGAGGACGTCATTGAGAATGCCTCGGGTCTCGCTTCTGCTGGGCTACACGACACGCACTACGTTTCCAGCACTACCCCTTGTTCCGGAGATTCTCTCTGCCGGGGTCAACGCATTGAGGAGCCTGATCATGGTACAGACTGGACTGAGGAATCAGCGCCGTTTAGATCTTCTACAGCTGATGCTTGGGAGAGGCTGCAGAGCTACTCATTCCATACGTGGTCTTCTTCTCTATGCTCCATGGTGCTGAAGTCAAGGACTGCATTTGCTCGGTTCTTGAGATCAACTCTTCATGCTGATAGGAGACTCGATTCTCCTTCAAAGGCCTTCTTTCCATTGCCGATCCCGAAGCTGGGTATTTTTGAAGCTAAGAAGTTGGGCAGCGCTGCGAGGAGGAGGAGAGCTTTTGATCAGGCCTTTCATATTTGTGTGATGGCATTGAACTACCAGCACTCTGACTTCTCGCCAATCCCTATTGAGTCTTTGTGCAGAGTCCCTTCGTCAGCCCAGGGGATTGCTTTGGAGAATTTGCGAAAAATGCTGAAGGCCTTCGGTAGCTCAGGGGAAAACTTTCAGGTACCTCAGAGCGGCCGTAGAATGACTACTTTGGCTTCGCTTCTGGCAGATCTTTCCGATTTTGCTACATGGGAGGGTCTTGGAGGAGGTGGAGTCTATTCTCGTGCTTTCCAAGGTGCAGAAGAAGGCTTTGTTGTGGGAGAAGTTCCTCGCGATATGACAAGGGCTGAAGAACTTCAGCCTTATCGCTCTTTGGACCCTGCAAGGCTGAAGCTTTTTGGTACTGCATCATGGAACCCAGAGAGCTACCTTTCGGACATGCTATGGCTCGCTTTTGTCGAGCCTGACAGTCTACTTTGGACTGCCACTGAACAAGCGGATGATCGACCAGATGTTGGGCGTGAGAGCTATGATAAAGTAAAGGAGCTTGCTCTTCTCTGGGACGTCAATGGCCTGCTCTCTTTCGGGTCTGCCGGTGATGAGAGATTTGATGCATCGCATGCCATGCGCTTCTTCAACAACTACAAAAACATTGACATCGACCGCATGATCGGAGACAGACGGGCACGGAACTATGTTGAAGGCCGGCTGACAGCAGTTTCTGCAGGTCTTCCTTCGGCACAGAGCTTCATGGACCTTGAGATCAAGTTGCCCCAGCAGAGGCTTTCTATATGCTGTTCTGATCGCAAAGACTTCTATCATCAGATTTGCGTGACGCCTCCAAGAGCAGCGTCTAATGGTCTATGGCCTCTTCTCGAGATCAATGACGTGGCTGGGACAGATGCCTTCAGAGCTTGGCTGCTGCGGGAAGGTTCGAAGAAACGGTATGACAGACTTATTCATGGGGACTTCTTGAAGTCAGGAGGAAAGAAGCCTGTGCTGGCTACTGGAGGAGGATTTTTGCAGGCCTGTTTTGCAAGTGTGCCACAAGGAGATCATCTTGGCGTTGAAGTCGCTACTGAGGGTCATCGGAATTTCCTCAGGACTTGGGGCCTTCTTGGACGTGACGAGGAGCTCCGGGCAGGAAACCCCTTCCGAGGCCATGACCTTGCCACTGGATTGGTGATTGATGACTTCTATGCCATATCCATTGAGGAAGCAGATTTGCCTGCACATATCCCTGGAGAAGGTCTTTCCAAAGATCGGCCACTTGCTGTTGCTCAGTTACTATGTGCTCAGCGTGCTTATGATGCCGAAGGCCTGTTGGGATCCCCTCAGAAGGACGTGCGTGATGCTATGAAAGCAAAGGTCAGTGGTGCTGAATTTGACTCTAGCCCCTCTACCAGGAAGCTTGGCCTGACCACAGTTGCAGCTCCTGCTCAGAAGCGGCTTGCTCTTGCATTCATCTCCCTGGTCGTGGACTACAGATGCTCTACATGCTTGCCTACTTGGAGGGTGGGTTCATGCTATGTTGTATCGCCGCCCTGCGATGAGTCTTTTGCATCGCTGCTTTGGGATGTCTTTGTCAGAGGTCGCTCAGGATCACCCTCATATCGTTCCCTTGAGCCGAGGTGTGGCAGAAGAGCTTGTTCTGCTTGCAGTGCTGTGCCCTTTCTTTGCGACAGATCTCTCAGTAGAGGTGCAACCCAGATGTTTCTGTACTGACTCTTCTGATAGCAAAGGAGCCATCGTCTCATGCAGCCTTGAAGAAGATTGGGCCCGAGTTTTGGTCAGAACTGGTCGTCGGAAGGCCACCTACACTCGGATGCTGAACAGGCATGAGGCCATCTTGAAGAAGATAGATCCTGACTTTGAGGAGACTGGCGGCTTCAATGAAGAGACAGCTGTGGAAAGGCCTAGAGCTTTTCGTTTCCACTTCATTGAGATTTGCGGTGGAGCTGGTAAGGTCGCTGCTGCTCTCAGTGCAAAAGGATGGACTGTAGGGCCAGTCCTAGATATTGATCGATCGCCTCACTATGACTTGGCAAGCCTCCGATTGCTTCAGTGGATCTTTTTCATGCTGGAAGATGGCAGGCTTGACTCTTTCATGGTGGAGCCTCCCTGTACGACCTTTAGCCCAGCTCAGTATCCTCCATCTCGGAGCTATGACCTTCCTCGAGGTTTCGACCCACAGGAGCCTAAGACATTGCAAGGAACTACACTTGCCCTTCGAGCACTTTCTCTGATGTCTCTTGCTGCTCAGCTGGCTATTCCAGGGCTCCTTGAGCAGCCCCGGAGATCAAAGATGAAGAAGCTTGAGGAGTGGCAAAGGCTGCTTGAGTTTGGATGGGCTCATGAGGTTTGGACCGCTTCTTGCATGTATGGTTCCCCTCACAGAAAGGAGTTCGTCTTTTTGCTGGTTGCAATGCAGGCAGAGCAGCTACACCGAAAGTGCGATGGATGTCATGAACACATACCAATTCAAGGTCAGTGGACAAAACCTTCGGCTACATACACAGATGAGTTGGCTGAAGCTTTGGCAGAAGCCTTCCACCAGGCTTTGAATGACAGGCTGAGAAGTGAAAAGGACCATGATCTTCAGGTCGATGGCCTAGAGAACATACTGGTCAACGATGTGATCCTGTCAAGAACATGGGATTTGGAGCAGGTATGGCGTTGGCAGAAGCCTGCCCACATCAACATCCAAGAGACCATGGCAGTAGAGAGGCTCTTTAAGCAGGAGGCCGTTTTGAGACCAAAGACAAGGTTTCCGCTCATCATGGACTCCAACGTCAGCCTTTCTGCTTTGGTGAAAGGAAGGTCGCCGTCAAAAGGGCTCAGGAAGAGCCTTCGAAGAGTTGGTGCCACCTTGATTGCTGGATGTCTTTATCCTTCGCTGCACTTTGGGCCGACTAGGATCTTGCCAGCTGACCATCCTACACGAGATCATGATCTGCCTGACCCTTGTGAGAGTTGTGTGCCCAAACCTTGCCCTTTCGCTGATTTGCTCGACTTCAGCCGTATCAGGACATTGCGGCGCTTTGCATCAAACTGGCTCCGGCTGTTCCTGCTCTTACTTGAGACTGTTCCGCCGTGGATCAATGATAAAGATGCCTGGCGCTATGGCCACGTGAATTTTCGAAGTTTCTCTGCTCATCGGAGATTTCATGGCTACCTGGAATTTGACCAGACTTTGGTTTTTCCAGGGGAAGGTCCTGGATTTGGGCCTTTCTCTTGTCGGCCTTGGGCTTTGGCCTGCTTGGTTTTCCCATGCACTGTCATCTTGAGCTCAGCTTTGTTGACTGCAGCTATCCTCTTTGGACTTTGCTGTTCTCTTGGACTCCTGGCTCTTGCTCAGAAGAAGGGACGGCCGGCTACTGCAAGCCGGTTCCGCCTTCACCCATGCGTGCCCGGGCCCTTCGGTTTCCCCCGGAAAGGTGTTTGGGTTCTTTTGGGGATTTGGTTGGCACTACCCCATGTAGACGCGGCGCCCCATGTTAGCCATGGAATGCACCTGATCCCAAGGAACCAAGCTGACAAGGTACGAGCCCAAGGTCGTGACAACCTTGAACTGCCGAAAGGCAGGCCTGTGCTGCCGGCCACTCAGAAACAGCGGGATCGGTTGCTGGAAGATTTTTCATCATGGTTGGGCAGTCAAGGGGTTTCATTTGAGGAGCTAGTCATGGTCTTGGACCCTGATATCGAAATGGTCAACATGATGTTGGAAAGATTTGGACGTGAGCTCTACAAGGCAGGACGCCCATATGGGCATTACAGTGAGCTGATCAACGGAGTGGCTGGAAAGCGGCCAAGGATCCGACGCTCGCTACAGCCAGCGTGGGACCTGGCCTACACGTGGCTGCGGCAAGAGCCGCCAAGCCACCACCTGGCGCTGCCGTGGCAAGCGCTCTTGAGCCTTCTCTCTACCTCACTGATGTGGGGCTGGAGCAAAGTTGCTGGAGTGATCGCCCTATCCTGGGGCGGGATCACGCGAATTGGTGAAGCTCTTTCTGCATGCCGCAGGGACCTGGTCCTGCCCCAGGACGTGGAGTGGACCACCAACTACGCCCTACTACAGATAGCTGAACCGAAGACAAGATACAAGGCGGCCCGGCATCAAGTGGCCAGGCTGGATCAGCCGCAGCTCCTTCAGGTGGTGACCTTAGCATTTGGCCACTTGAGGCCAGACCAGAAGCTGTGGCCAGACAATGAGGCTGAGGTTCCAAAAGCTCCTGGCGGCAAACTCCTTGGATGAGATGCCAAAGGGGGTCAGCCGGGGCATAGACCTCGGCTCACTTCGGGCCGGGGGCGCCTCGTGGCTGCTGATGGTGAGCGAGGACTCAGAGTTGACCAGGCGGCGTGGCCGCTGGATCACCGCAAAGGTGATGGAGATCTATGTCCAGGAAGCCTGGGCAATCCAGTTCATGCCCAGGCTCCCTCAGAAGACAAAGGACAAGATCTCAAAAGGCATTGCGATTTTTGACTGGATTCTAGAGCAATGTGTTGGATGGCGACAGGCAGCCATCCCGGATGCAGCATGGCCCGTGCTTGCGTTCGAGGCCGCGAAAGCCTTGGAGTTGAATGAGATGGGCAAAGCTGGAAGTGATGAGCTGAAAAAGCTGGGTGGTGAGGGAGCCACTTTTGGCCAGATGGCCCGTGTGCACCCCCCATCCAGCATGGAGAAACAAGTGCGTGAGAAGTTGCTTTGTAACTTTGAATGTGCGGTTGATGGCTCCAAGCCTCCCGCCGCGCCCTCCCTCGCGGCCTGAACGCTGCTCCTGGGAGCCACTTTTGGCCAGATGGCCCGTGTGCACCCCCCATCCAGCATGGAGAAACAAGTGCGTGAGAAGTTATATAGTTTTGCAGCTTCAGACCGCATTCACGCACAGAGCAAAAGGGCTTCTTACCTGTGCCTTTAAGATATTTTGATTGACGTTTCAATGAACCGTGACTACTGGCCATAAGTCAGGCACAATTACAAGCAGATAAACTTCATGTTTTTTCATGTCCAGGAACATATAATTTACATTTCTTCACTACTCACATTGAACACACCATTTTTGATGTCGTTGGCTAACTAGATTTTCATGTCTTCATGTCTGTTTTGATAGTGCAATATGTCCTAGATTTTCCAACAAACAAACATCTGAGACTCATTTCCTCGCGAGCTGTTCAGAGCCCCCTTTGCAGGCCAAGCATGATGAAACTTCAAAGCAGGAACTCGCACAGCGCAAGGTCTTGCAGGCCGCTGCTTCTCGTACGGGGAAGGGTCGGAAGGGTCCGTGCCAAACAGTTCAAGCAGGGTTTGTTCAAACAGTACCCCCCCACCGTCGGCTCGCCAGTGACCAAAGGACCTGTGGCACTGACCAAAGGTCAGTTTTGCGATAGGGATGCCAGTTCCTCATGGTTTGAGACGTTCTTGCTGTCAGTCAACCTCAATTGATGCTTGCTGTCAGTCAAGATGTCGGACACGACGAGCAAGATGTTCCAGCCGCCCAGCAGTTTTCTGTCAGGACGCGGTGGAGAAGGGACGATCACGGCCAACCAGTGCGCCAGTAAGGCCATCGAAGTTGAGCCCCAACCAGCAAGCGATGCTGCAGGCGAGAGAAGGCATGTGGGAATCTTCCAACCCACCAGTGGGCCTGCTATTGGCTCCGGACTGCAGGAGAGGATCAGGAAGATGAAGGAGCAAGAAGATGCTTATAAGAAGCAGGCAAGGACGGGAGAAGAGGCCCAGTGGACCAGAATTTGGGGGGAACTGTGGTGTTTCATGGGAAGACCAGAGGCCCTATAGGCCCTAGACTTGTGACCGATTCTTGGTGTGAAAGCCTTTTAAAGTGTTTAGTAAGAATGCTACGAACGTAGTGATGCCAGGAGCCCTGTTCGTACTGTCCTTGCTCCTAGTAGCGATGCCCTTTGCTCCTAGTAGCTTCTTGTTCCTAGTAGCGATGCCCTTTGCTCCTAGTAGCTTCTTGTTCCTAGTAGTAAGAATGCTACTAGTAGTGATGCCAGGAGCCCCTAGT